ATTCGAAAGATCGTTTACCACCACTATCTCTCCGGAAACGGCGCTGTTTTCCTCTCCAGCTGTGATATCTGGGCATGTTGTATCTGGAACTATCAGTCGCTGACCGTTTGCAAACATAGCCAGAAGACTCTGACCCCAATCGGACAAGCTTACAACGATGTCGGACGTTGGTACGCGGCTTTGAGTCTCACATGCGGGCAGTTGCAGGGCGAGATCGTTGTCTTCATGCTGGAACGCACGCAGCAGATTGTTCTCAACCTCGAGAAGGGTGGCGGCGACGGCGGTGCGTGGTTCTACGACATTCTGGCTGCAATTCCTCGTGGTGACGGTCTGCGTGCAGTGAAGCACCTAGCCTTTTGTCTTGAGCATCTGTGCCACGACTCTCAGTCGTCACCCTATACAAAAAGCCCTATGGTGGAGCTCGCGCTTGCCTGTACTTCTCTCCGAGAAATTGAGTGGACAATTTATATCGAAGAGCTCTTCTGCTTTGACTCTTCAACCGGCTTGAGCAGCCCGCGGTCTGTAGACGCGCTACTAGATAGGTTCGCACTCCGCGCTTTGATCAATTGTGAGAGTCTGAAGCAGATTCGCATGAGAGGTTTTTATGAAAGTCTTGAATGGCAGCGTAGTCCAAGTGACTGGGACGTCCTTGTCGGCGTGGGGAAGTGGTTGATGAAGGGCATTCTGGTTCGACAAGAGCGGCACATTCAGGTGATCCTACACCCTCCTGAAATTGACTGGTATGGACTAGGAATACTCGTGGAGCTAGATGAGACAGATGAGAAAGAAGTAGAAGATATGTGCAAGGCGAAGAAAGCGAAGGCTTTGCTTGCACCAGTGCAGGCAGAGCAAGACCTAGGCCTTTTGCCAAGTCTCTTTGGCGACAAAGTTTGAGAAGGCATCGCATAGAGTAGGGTACAATGAATCTGTCTGGAAACATTCGAGTGCTATCATGATGCTCGTAACCGCTCCAGAATATGTGTCCAGAGCATAAACCTGCCTACTCAAGACTCTTAGCATCCCTCTCCCACTCAAATTCATCTTCATTTTTCCAATACTTAGTACCACTCTTCCTAAACCCCATCTTCTCCAACACTCTACCACTTCTCGCATTGGGCTTTTCCGTCTCGGCGATGAACCTCTTTACACCCTTCTCCGCCGCCGCCCACTGCATGACCGCTTCTGCAGCCTCGCGAGCTACACCCTGACCCCAATACGCCGGCGCAACACCGTAGAGCATTTCGACCATCTCTTCCCATGGTGGTAATGGATCGTCCAACTCGTCGCGTGGGGGTAGAGAGGTTGTGGTAGCATCTCGTACGCCTGCATAACCTAGCCATTCGATGTCGCCGAGTATTTGGCACACGTTATCCATCTCATCTCCATCGATGATCCAGACCTTCTCACTGGCATCCTTCAAAGACCGACCCATATCATCGCTGACTTGCTCTTTCGGTCGCCAGCCAACTGCAAAAGTGCCCAATCCTCTCTTCTCCCAACACTGCGCAATATCTCGTGTAGCGATCGACTTATGCATTTCTTCTTGCGTGCGCTTCACTACGGGAAACTTTTCGCCAAAGCCCATCTCGCAGAATGAGGTATCTGCGAGGAGGTTCGCGAAAAGAGTGACATAAGATGGGATTGAGATAGCCAATGGCGTGGGTACAATGATGAGTCGAGGTGTGACGAGGGCGAACCGCGAAAATGGTGTTGAGGACTGTTGAGAAGTCATCTTGAGGTGTGCAAGGTTTGATGAGATGCATGGACAGTCTTGCGGATACTTGTACACTTGGAAAGATGATAGAAGAGATGACTCGGAGGGTCTTCCGCCGCAAGAAGAAGCCACTAAGTGTAATCCAGCCTAGCGCAATATGACTCAAAATGATGGAGAAGCACCGGGTCACCTCATACAAGGGAAAACCTGAACAGGTCTGCAGACTACATTAACATGACTACATGCAAAGTGGGTGTGCTAACATCGATGTAGACCCCAGGGGGTTCACTTTTTCCCTAGGTTGACGTGAGATGATATCCTTATCATCTAATCTAGGCTATCTTGTTCGCCTTCATTGGCTCGATTTGGAAAGGCGAGAAATGCTTCCCGCGCATACTGTCCCAGCTCTCCACCAACGCCTCACACCTCCGCCAGCTGTTGTCCACCACTTTCTCGTGCTCTTCAACAGTCCTTTGCACCCAGCCATCCCTCTCATCTGCCACCATCACCACTTCGTCGCCTTTGCCGGTATATTTGTATTCTTTCCACGGCGTTTCTCCATTCGCGAAGCTGTTCCAGGTTCGTGCGTGCTGGGTAGAGATGTCCTTGAGTCTTTGTGACGGGTAGCGGAATTGGTACGTCTTGAACACGTAGTACACGTCGACCCAGTGATGCGCTTGCTGCCAGAAGGGACTGGTAGCGAAAGGATTGCGGACGTCGAATACGTACCGATAGACCTTCTTATTCGTATGCTGGGTGAGATACTGAGCTAAGTAGTGAGTCGGCGCTACAACTATCAGCTATGCACACAACATAATGCGGAATGTCTCACCATCAAAAACGACGTCGCCTACCCAACGTGCGCCTGCAGTTATGAATATGTTCTTGTCCATTCCCGGCGAGATGCCGTAAGCTTGCTCGATGAGGTCCGCACTTTTCTCGCCTAGCTGCTTTGCGATGCCTTTGAGGAAAGCGTCCGGGCTGACAGCAGTAATTGCTGACATCAACGTGACGCCCTGTATGTCTGAGTAAGATCTCGGTTTGGACGTATGATTGAGAAGGATCGACTTACCTCAAAGCCTGTAGTTCCCAGAATGATCTCGTTGACCCACTCGCATTTGCCAAGCAACTCAGGAAAGCGGTCCCATGTCACAGAGCCCGCTTCATCACCAAACCATTCTGAATCTTGAACAGAAAGCCACATATTACCAGCTGCTCGATGCTCGGCGGATTCTTCGACAATCTTTTCTACGTCCACTTGACGTAATTTCTTCAGACCTGCCTCGCCTTCTTCTTCGATTCCAACTCTTCTCAAGAAGCTGTTGTATGTCTCGCTTGCGCTTTCGGGTGATAGCGGTGCTGTCGTTGGCCCCATAATGCCAGACATGAGAATCGCTCTCTGGAACAGCGGACCCGAAGACGGAGGTTGGCGTAGCATGTGGGCGCAAATTGACATGGAGCCAGCGGACTCTCCAAAGGCAGTAACCTTCTTCTTGTCTCCTCCAAAGCCCTCGATGAACTTTTGGATCCAGAGAAGCGCATTTCGTTGATCGTTCAGTGCAAGATTTGCATTTCCAGCCTCCGGACTATGTAGATAGCCAAGCGCCCCCAAACGATATTGTATGCTCGCGGAGATGATGGGTTGGCCGTCGAGGATCGACTGCTCGACCATGAGAGATGTGTTGTGCTGCTCGTCAATCTTCCCGAGCACGAAGCCTCCCCCATGGATGTAGACCGATACAGGTAGTCTTGAAGAGGGTGGCTGCTGCTTGAGGCACGAAAGCGGTACATTCACCTGAAGGATAGCACATTTCAACTCGTCCGTTGAGTGTGGAAACTTTTCATCAGGGAAGTTACCGCCGCCCACCGCGTCAATGTTAAAGACTTGAGGGCATGCATAGCTGAGGGCATTAGCTTCTCTTGCCAGGGAAGCATTAAGGTAAGTCATACCCATGTTCCGTGAAGTCTTTCTTGCCCGCAAGCGTATCTGAGAGAACAGACCGCTTGAAGCGAGCGGGGATGGTGGCGTATGGTACGGCGCGAAACTGAACAACGTTGTCGGGCGTGACGATGCCTGTCATGGGGCCTAGGTCGGCATGGTGAAATGTGAAGGTCTGCGGCGCCTGCTGTTGTGAAGTCATGTTTGCTGTTCGATGGTTCTGTCACGCTATCGAGGAACCGCGAAGACAGGCACGAGATATATAAGACACCGACGGTGTACGCAGGCGACGCGCGGAACAATACCATTTCTAGACAGCCTTGTATCTACCGGGAAGTGGGGACCAGGCCCGTCGAACCGGTCGGAGGCGCAAGAAACATCCGATCCGCTTACAGAAACGCTGATTATCGATGCCTACAATGCTGCCTTGAGCTCTGTGATAGGCAAAATCCAGGATGAGTGGTGTGTCTGACAACAGACAAAATGCGCATCTCTTGCAGCTATAGTAGCTGGAGCGTGCGATACGCAGAGGCGTCACTTGATATTGTGACTGCAAGTAAGCCTCAGCCTTTCGGACTCAGAATGACTGCCGAAACACATCTTTGGTGGAGTAGCGGCGGGGTTATTCGTCGGCACATCAACGCGCGAGACCGATGATGAACGGTTGTAATAGAGCGCCGAGAAGCGAGCCAATCAGTTCGCTAAGAAAGTGCGAGCGTCTCATCTCGCGATGTATTGTACAACAAAGCTGTTGTTGCTCCTGGCGTTCGAGCGGTGGTGACGGTGATGACGTGAACGACTGCAGGAAGAATGGCCGGTGGTCGGTGTTTGCGCTAGCTCGAATCAGTGCTAGCTGGCTTTTCCGTTTCCAGACGCGTCGCGAAGCCTTCGGAGGTTAGACGCGTCCCATCGACGCGTCTGGCCTTCGCGACTAGCAGCGATGTTTAACAGCAGAAACGTAATATTATGTTTCAAGAACGGTACCTAGCGACAAGGTGGCTAGTACCCACAGGAGAACTCGACAAGTGGGCGCCACGACCCAGCCACAAAACTCTGCACGCCTCATTCGTACCTTCTCGTCTTGTTATGCACCGGCTCTGAACAGCAATACTGCCCTGCGATACCGCACGCTGACGTCGAAGCGCCCTAGAGGGAACGCCAGAAGTCGAATTTGAAACATTAAACGCCTTTACTGTCAATGTCTCGCTCCCGCGCCTATCCAGGTGACATCCACACCGCAAGATCACGAAAGGGCAACCTCTGCACGTATGTAGTGTAAGCTGGTCCGACTACTATGTCGTGACGACTGCAGATCTACTCTACTGTGATCCCAAGCGCTTACCTTCGATGTTTGTCATGTTTTACAGCTCAGCCCTTTTCTTGGTTTTCGCTGCATCTTCTCTCTTCGCTCAGGCCGCTGCAGAATGTACTCGGTTCTCCACCAATGGCTCGACGGCATCAACGTACGACTTCCATCGCTTCTACGACTTTAGGCAGCTTCATGATGACATCGACGGCGATGCGGCTTCTGCTTCGTCGTACGGAGAGGGTCACACGGACATGGAAGCAGCCAGCGGCCAGTCCAAGATCATCCAGGCTGCTCCTTGGGTTTCGGGCTGGAATGCGAGAGATTGGTATAGACCGTCGCCAAGGGACGATACGGTGGATATGTACTATAAACCGTCTCGTATATCAATCAGTAAGTTGAAGTCACCTTTCTGTTTCTACCAACTACTAACCACTCACAGGCAAGAATACCGACGCGTCGCAGGATTCTACGTATCTGACCTTGCACACGACAAGACTCTCCGATGGAAGCCAGGTGGCTGCTGAACTAGACTTTGCGGAATACAATGTCACCTACGCCTCTATCCGCATGTCCGCACGCATCAATGGAGCCAGCGGCGCAGTCGCGGCTTTCTTCACATACCATGATGACACGTCCGAGTCGGATATAGAGATACCAACCGGGTTAAAGGCTGACGAAGTGCACTACTCTAACCAGCCCACAACCGACCCCGACACTGATGCACCCATTGATGGTGCAACCTTCAATGTGTCAATGGAAGACTACCAACCTACCTCGGACTGGAACAACTATAGGCTGGACTGGGTACCCGGGAAGAGCGCGTGGTACATGAACGGTGCGCAATCAGCTGACACGGAAGTTAACGTACCGGATGCAGAGAGCATGATTATCCTCAGTCTATGGAGTAACGGAGGCATATTTTCGGGGCGTATGGATACCGGGCAAGAGGCCTGGTTCGATATCCAATGGGTTGAGCTGCTCTTCAATACGAGTGCTAGCGCCAGTACTAATCCTGAAGGAGATGTATGCTCGGTAGAGTCGTCGCCAGGCTCGCCGGTACCCAATGCCTCGCGCGGCCTTCAAGATCTGGTTGCTGGGCGTATTTGGTGGGCTATTAGGATGGCGTCAGCTGTTAGCTTCCTGGTGTTCGTATAGCGGCCCATGGCAAGCGGAATTTGGATATAACTGTGTTCATTTCGGACGCTGATCAGAAGCCGTAGAGACTTTCGCACAAAAGAGTGTCTCTACAATATATGGAATGAAGATACACGTCAAGGCTTGGCACTCCGTATGCGTTGGCGGATTATCGCGCCGTGGACGAGAACCGTGGGTCGAGAACCGTGGTCGTATTGTCCGCGTGAGGTTGTGTCTTGAGCGTCGTACGAATGAGCCGCTGTTGCAATGGTTCTAGATCCGCCTGCATTGAACGCGCAGCCATGAAAAGGCCTGTCGTCATATTGAGACGTTTAAGGCGAGTGCATGGTTTTTTGTCGTCGTTGAAGGATGTTCATACGCGTCGTGTGGAAGGACTCCTTAGCTCGCTTACGAGATTCACTGCCTAGATCGCTCATTGGACACCTTACCACTAATCGGAACATGTCACTTGAACGTGTGCATTCTGACAGCTGGGATAGCCGTTGCGTATAGACATAGCATGTATCTTTAGTAGTTGTAATCCGCTCGTCGCTGATGGGTCATCGCGAACGAAACATGACGTATTCACCACGCTAGCCAGAACCGCAGTTTCCAATTCCCCAGACACGCGCCCGCACCCCGCAAAGACGTCATCCTTCCATGCAACTCTGATGAAACGCGTTCTCATGCATTCCATGGCGCACGTACTGCTTTTTCCATCTCTGAACACGACACTCATACCCCGGAGATGGCTCCGATGAATCGATGACGCATCATCTCGCGCGCATTGACGATAACCTTGGAACCTGATGTTGGCCTAGCACCAAATGTCTAAATATCATGGGAGATGGAAACAAACTACCAATCATCCCTCCACACTCAATTACACCTAGTATACACATCTATGTGATTCAATATGCCGCTACTTCGCTTTACAAAGCCGCGAGTCGCCTCTGCTACAGGCACTATACCGGGCTCGAAATGTTCTCGTAGCGCTAGGCCTCATCCACTGCGGAATGGCGCCCAGAGCAGGCAGTATGCCAGCGAGCCCATCATCCCCAAGGTGCAGAATAGCGATTTCACATTGTACGTTCTGATGCCACCGCAACTCTCATCCCGATCCTCCTATAACGCGTATCCTTTAGTAAGTTCGCAGGTGTAGCCATGGCCTTCACCGGCGGTCTTTATTTCGCTATAAATTCAGATCTGCGTCCGTCGTCAAAGCAGAACCTCGCGGCCAATCTCCAGCCGCATCCAACTATGCCGGGCAAGATGGCTGGCGAGAACGAGGAAAACATGCGCAGCCACAAGATCACTATGAAAGGCGATCCCAGCGCACCTGGTGCCGGCAGGCCGGACCCAAATGAAGAGTTGGGTCCGAAGGCTATGGGTCACGGGGCTGCACCTTCACATGTAGCCGACCCGGTTCGTACAAGATGTCACCTTTTTTGTCTACTTCTTGATTGCTAAGTAACACCACAGGCCGATCCCCGCGGAAAGCCCAGAAGCTTCAACTACATGTCTGGAAAGCAAGAGGGTTTGTCGAATGGAGATACTCACCACAGCTCCCAGATTTCCAAGCAAGGAGAGATGAGCAAGAAGGGTGAGGGTGTGGCGGAGACTGCGAAGCTCAAGGGTACTGTGTCGACTAAGCGACCTGGTCCTGAGAATAAGGAACAGCGAGGCAAGGCTCAAATGGATGATGAGTAGCAAGTTTCGTTGATCATCACGCTTGGTATCATTTGATGGGGGGAGGAAATGTAGTAAAGAGAGTAGCAAACTGTAGTCAGATAAACAGGCACTCCAATACCATACCAGCAAAGACATTCCACTAGCCCGTGTGACTATCGCGCATTGTCAGATCACGTGTCGATTGTAAGCCTTGGCTTCACTGTGTCGCAACCAAAGTCCGCACTGTCAGAGCAACCATATTATTAGTTTTAAACTCCTACTCGTACAAGCCATGCCATGCCAACGCACACCTGTCCGCAGTTTGACCCATCCTCGTCCCCAAATAACTCCAAAAACCCATAGCAGATAGCCACCCAAGTTGTTTTCAACTTTTTGTAAGGAAACGAGCTCTTGACCTCCTACCAGAGGAGGAGTGGGAAGAGCTTTTTACCATCGTCGCCATATTGAGGAAAGAAAGGAAAGGAAAGATGGTACGCCGTGATCGCCATCGTGAGGTATCGTACAGGACATGAAGAAGTCGGAAGAGGTAGGTGCAACGCCGTGCAGATTATCCGAAAGAAAAGGGAGATGTGGAATGAGGGGTTCAACCGGACGTGTCGTTTTTTAGGACGGCAGCAGGGGGGGCCTGGAGTGTGTCGGGTGATGGCGCTGTTGTCATCGAAGTGAATATGGGCGTTAATGTGGTAGTCGACGTCGATGCAGGAGTCGCAGTCGCCTCGGTGGCATCGATATGTTCCTCTTGGGTCGTGGAAGGTTTCTCGGCCGCCTTCTCAACCGTACCAGCATCGTACTCTCCACCTCCAATCGTCGTCTTCTTCTCACACCCCATCTCAACATCAACAAACGTCTCCTCACTCCCACACCTCGGCAGCTTCTTGCCGCTGTTCTCAGCAACGTATTCATCATACGTCTTGCCCGCCTTCTTAGCTTCCTTGCGCACATGTCTCACACGCCATAGCCAGACCGCTTGGCTGGCAAAGATGCCAGTCTCGAGGACCATGCAGGCGATGTATAGACTGGCGCCGAGAGCATCGAACCATTGCTGCGCGACGACGGCCATGAGCGAGAAGAAGGCGCCGAGGTAGTCGATGGTGAGGAACCAGAAGTCGATGCCGATGACGCGGCCGTTGCGCTTGGCGAGCTCGAAGTATGGCGGGATTAGACCGATGACTTGGATGACAGATGCGGAGATGGCCATTAGCATCATGGGCCATTCGACACCGCGGCTGTATGGACCCTGTACGGTATTTCGTTAGTAGTTTTCTACAAGATGGTGATTTGTAGCGTGTGGTTGACTTACGCGCAGTGTAAGAATGAGGATAAGTTCCATGATACCGAAGCTAGCTGCAAGAGCGATGGTCGCCAGAGTAGCTGTCCAGACCCGCCATTTGTTGTGGTAGTAGAGTGTTTGGCCCCATGCGATTAGGGTCAGACTGGCGAAAGCTTGAGGTTGGAATTGGAGGGCGAAGTTGAAGTTCTAATCACACGTAAGTAAAAGGTGAGATAGACTGTGCGGTGGGTGATGGCATACCTGAACAATCGCATATACACCAAACGGTACGCCGCCTGCATCCTATGGTTAGCTGAGTCGGCCAGGCTCGTCCATTTGGGGTGTCGCACAAATTGACCAGAGTATCAGCATGGTGCCTGGAAGACCTTCGGTGCTCTTCCGCCGCCAGTTGGTCCATATTCTTCGGTAAGGTCAGCGGACTGCCATGTGCAATGTTGTTGCGTGTGACACTTACTGTGGAATGATTTGTATACACCAGCAGCTGCATTCGGACCTTTGTTAGCAAGTGCTTCGTGGGGTCAAGGGCTTGACGTGGGGTTGCATACACTTTACTCAAGTTAGCATAGCCCTTAGCCACGAAACGTTCGGAGGTACTCACCAGTGCCGAGCGTCTAGAGAACCAGATCGTATGTCAGTATCATGACTCAAGTCAAAAACGTGGGTGGAGCAGAGAAACCTACACCAAGGATATTCGCAGCCTAGCGTTTGGAGTCAGTATGTTGGAGCTGTATGCGATATTGATGGTACTACTCACGGGTGGTATCGAAACTTGCGGTCTGTCCATGGCTTTGCAAGAGTGCTCTCACTACGTCTTGGATGATAAGAAGTGGTGAAGAGGTGTAAGGCTCAGTGGGTGGAAAGATGGATGATGGTGAAAAGAGAGGCCCAGGTGAGACAAGATGTACGATTAAGAAGCCAACTAAAAGGAAGTGTAGAGACGTGAGTTTACGTGATCTGGTGGCGTTTCACGTCGCACCAGGTGTAGTATGTACTATCGCTCTGGTACCTGGTTCGAGTAAAGGAGGAAGAAGTAGCTAAACGACTTCACCAATGGTAGGATGAGGAAGCGGGAGGGTTGTACAAAAGAAAGTTTCCAACTAATGACAGAGCAGTCGGTTACGCCAGCACCGGCACCCAGGTGAAGGCGAAAGTGGTACCCGCTCACACCAGGCAACATGTTGTGCGTGATGACGGAACTGTCAGAGGGTCCCATTTTACTAGCTCTACCGCCGCAGTCGCGTGCAAGAATAAGTCGGCTGGTCATACCAGTGCACAATGGCCTTGGATAGAACGATTTAGACTAGGCAGCTAGTGAGATTTCAGCTTTCGGGGAAGTCATGCCCCTGCACCCGGCGCTGAAGAGCGACTCCGTTCAGACTCGGTAAGAGGTGAGTGGCTGAGCTAGCGTATACAGGGATACTTTTCCTTCCCCAGCCGATCTGCAATCCGATTGGCGAGTCTAGACTTTTCGCTGAACGCATCTATCCTCATATGAGGAAATGGGTCCCACTCCATCTCGATGCAGACGTTGAAGGGGGTGGGTGACGAAAGCCCCCGGTATTGCATGCATACAAGGCTCGGTCGGATGCTGGGTCCCTGCATTGAGCGACGAAGAAAGAACACCTGGTGGCCACTTGGTAAACCCAATCGCTCACAGCCGGGACAGTTCTGTAGACTACGGAGTAATGCACATCGAAGAGGGTAAAGTTAATCTGCATCCAATGAATAACCTTGTAGATGTATTTCCGGATGTGGTCGTGCGTAGACTACCGCCGCGCTCCAAGCGGCTCACGCGAACATCAATCCTGACTGGCCTCAAGGACAGTCCGTCAATCTTCGTTTTGATGAGGTGACCTCGATCCTCCGGTGAGCTCGGCGAGCGCGTGCCCGGCTACATACTGTGCATTCCTGCACACTGACGGACGTTCCTGAAAACTCTGAAGGTGGGTAGCTGACGTGCGGTTGGCGGCTGTGTTGAGACCTGCATCACCTGGCATTCCCGAACCACGCCGGTGGGACCCCGCCTGCATAAGATGGCGTCAACCGGATTTATGATTCGATCCTGTATACAGTACAACTGGATTCAGCTAGTAGGAGGCTCTGCTTTCCCCATCCGAGCGTGTGTCTAGTCCTCGGTTCCTGGCGCCTCGCAGCAGTCTGCAGTAGCTGATGATGAATAAGTGGTGGCCGACATGTAAGGTCAACTAGCCAGCTACTACACGCTCAACGCTGTTGCAGACGCGGCACAAAAGGAGTGCACATGCTGCTCTGCTCAGTAGCACAGCCGGGAAGGCGTGTCGCGAGGGACGATAGAGTTCGCAGCTTTCGCGGCAGCTGATAGGCAGTGGGTCGTTAGTAGCCAGCTGAACCGGCAAATCGCCGCCTCGGTCCCAAAGAATATTTTGAGTCATTGCGTCGACATCCGAGCACAATAACGACAGCCGCGCACTGCGCGGTTATGATGATAATGGTTGTACATCTCCAGCCGGATCAGGTCAAAAAGTGGAACCGTTGGGAAAAGGTGGGGTTAGGGGCGTGCGCCATGCACGCAAGCCAGAGAACCAAACGCTCTACCGATCGACGAACTTCGGTTCATACGTTTCATACACAAAGCTGTCGGTTATGTATGCCGGTCGAGAACACATTCTTTGCGCTGTATTCCGCGTGTACGAGGAGGAGATAACGCGTCGACTTTGTGTTGGCACTTGGTACGTGTGAAGGTTCCCCGCCGCCGTTGCCGCCACTTGGCTGTGGCGTTTATTCGATCCAGGACCACATGCAGGATATGTTCCTGGGACGGCATTGCATAATAGACCAGGACGTCTGCGTGTCTCACGCATCTGCACGCTTTCACCTCGCCTCAATGATACCATCTTCTGCGAAAACGAACGAAGGAATCCATATCGGGGCGATCTCCGGCATGATGCAGCGACGGTTAGCCATATTCGCATCGGCTGCACCCATCTGTATTGATGACTGGCACCGAGACGTGGACGGATAGTTGCGCTTCGGCTTTGCTCCTGGACCCACACGAGACAGAGTACCGGCCGGGCGTACTCCGTTCAATGAAGCCAATGTCATCGAGCCACGAGTCTGACATCCTGACCATCCTGGGATCTGAACGGTGAAGAGACGCATAGAACATGGCGTGTCGGCGACGTTCGGTATGCCGATGTCGCATACGAAAATGTGCAAGCGGACCGACGCTGAAAGGGCCTGATACCGGGTTGTTCATGTCTGGCTGAGGGATTTGTCAAAGATCATCTATCTTGAAGGCATCGTGGTCCGATACGCAAGGGAAGCATGAAAGGCCAGACCAGATGAATCTGGCGAGAAGCGGGCCGATATACCCACTGTGTGGGGAGTACGCCAGTCCCTGGACCATCTTGGGATCTGAAGACGTACGTTCGGCCAGGTTTTAGGCCGTTGACGTGATCAGGATCGACATGTTCAAACTGGCAGGAGATGGCTGGAGGAGTATGGCCCCGAGACTTGCCTTAATCAATGTCGAAGCTCCGACGCGTGCGTACTTTCGCGTTCGCTTTGCCGCTGTGCCGTGGTGTTTGCCAATCCGCGAAGCACCAGGGATAAAGCCAGTATAACGCTAATGGACGGCAAGCTAACCCCTGATTTATCCCCACCTTCAAATGTAAAAGCGATGAATCTCTGTAGATAGGGTGCCGTTCCGACGAGCACGGGCGACTCTTGATCGTTTAGTGTGCGGCCGTATATGAAGACTACTGCAGTGAGTTGTATCAATACCCATTGTTATGGTCATCAACATCATGTCTTTGTCATGGTCGTCTTATCCGCTGGCAGATCCTTCCAAGAGAATGATGCCTGATGTCGTCTTGTGCGCGATGTGACCGGTGAGTAGTTCTGCAAGACTAAAAGCCGACGGGAAAAGCATGAGAACAAGCCGCATCGGCACTTGCAGAGTAGACCGATCAGACAGGATGAAATGGGTCGAAACGATCCGCTACCATGACGTGCAGTATTTGACCGGTGCGGGAAGATCGCTTGGTGGACGAAAGACCTGGGGTAAAGGCCTAGAGCTGACTGCAGTAGTTGCTTCTTGCGGTCTTCTCCGTGAGAATTCTGTCGGCAACGGCGGAGGCGAGGCATATTCGCACTGCAGGATGTATGTAGCAGTGTGTGCGCAGTTAATCCCTCCGTGAAAGTTAGTATACGAGAGGTCCTATCATCGCCCACCTTGAGACACCAGACCCGTAGGCCAGATTGCAATTCGCGCAGGCGAAATCAGTGTTGAGTGGATTGATGCATGCAAGAGCTGCAGGCTATTTCGTCATTGGCTCTTGATGGAGTCACTGTGCTCGGTGAGCCTGGGCGTAAAGCGGATGGCTTCACTCTCTCAACTCAGCGTTCACTGAGATCGGCCAGCAAGACAGCGATCTTCGCAACGAAGTCTTTTGGTGTTGTCCAGATCGTCGGTAGTATCCTCATCACCCTCACTCTTGTCTCTTCCACTGTCATTAATTAGATGAGTGTGTAACGATTGCTGGGCTGGCTTCGTTCTTGTGACTGTGATGATTAATCCGACTGGACCATTGGACGTAAGGAATATGTGATGAGCGCTATTGTAGCGGTTGCAAACTGTACGATAGAGCGGGAGAGAGAAGTAGGTGTGGTGTAGGTATCCAGAGCGCAGTAGAGAGTCTGTACGGATGGAATCGTGTATCGAGTGTGGGTGCCCATTGAACGCAACAGGTTACTGCTGTACTTGCCACTGCCACCAGCGATGATTGCGCGTCTCGCGGTGCCGCCCCCAAATACTGCTCGCTTGAAAATAACGTCTCGTCAACTTGAGCGCGCGGTGAGAATCTGCCGGGCCGGGGTCAACGGCATTCGCGAAACTGATCGGTGAACCCATTCCACACATTCCACACAACAATGCACATAATGTCTAGAGAGCGAAATTTCCACGACCACCCCTCCACCACCGCCCCCGGCATTCGCGAGACCGATCGGTGAAGAAACAGCAAGTTAATCTAGCGTATTTTGGGTATACAAAACGTTGCGATGTGGCGTAAGTCGACAGTTGTGGTGTCGTAAGTGTACATGAAGGCGCACAAAACAAAGCAAGTGTGGGCGTTGTGTTGAGAAGACGAGAAGAGCTGTGATCGTCGATGGATTAGAGGCCCCCAACATACACGAGTGGAATTTGGTGGTGCGGAAGCTGCCCAGGTGTGGAAGGCGCGAGCCACACTCAGGGTGTGTAATTACGATGGGATGGAGCAAAGCCATGTCAGCGCATTCGTCAACGGTCATATTTGCGGGAAGGCCCCCAGCATGCGCGATAGTGGAGTGAGTGACACTGTGTGGAAGGCGCGCTTCCCACGGTCAAATTTGGCAGTCACGAAAGGAAGGAGCAAGACCGCGAGATACTCAATCACACACTAGGAAACCACGAATGACGAAAACCATTTATGACCACCGGGGTGATATTAGAATGTTAATTACTACTTCCTACATGAAGGACCAAAAGGCGGGGGAATAAGTATCGAAAAAGCTAAGAAAACATACGAGAAGCAGTGTCATGTCGAGGACAGTGTGACCACAGACGTGATCCAAGGGAGCTATCACTGTCGGCTAAAAGATGGAAAGGCCCCCAAATAAGAAGAAATGAAGCCCGGCATCCGACCATGTCCCTTCCGTGTCGGCATTGCACAAGCCACCTATTACAAACGCCCGCAGCTGTTGATGATCAATACACCTTTTGACGACTCGATGGTTTCCCGTGGCAAGCGCGCTACCCGTGCTTGACCAAGACCGCAGGAGATGCAACAGCCGGATCCTGAAAGCGAGGTGTGTTGGCGTCATCTAAGCCTCGTCTGCGTCGTGGTCTTGCAGTTGGCCGCTCTGTTCCCTGTTCATGCGGGCCTCGATCTCCTTCAGCTGGCTCTCGCGGGCCAGGAGCTCCTGCCGCTTCTCGTTGATCTCGCGCTGGACCTTGACTTCGATCTCGCGCAGCTTCTCCTCTTCGCGTCGCAGTTGCTCCTCCTTCAAGCGCACTGACTGGCTGGCAAGATCCTCGGGGTTCATCGACGAGTCACTGTAGGATGTTAGTACTGATGTTGTAGCAGAGCGGGGACAAAACTTACGCAGCAGCACCACCTTCGACACTCTTACTAAGCTTCTCGGTACGGTAGTTCTCGTATAGGAAGTCATGCGTAATCTCCTTGAGATCGGCAAGATGGCTGTGGAGGAGGGCACTTCGCACAGCCAGGAAGTCGGAGTGGCGGGGGTTGTCGACCTCGACGATACCCCAGGGGTATTGGCGTGCCCGTACCCGTCGGCCGTTGATCTCAACAATGTCCTCGGATCCAACGATAGCGAAGGGCATCAGGCCGCGGAGCTCGGCGTTCTCCTCGACGGTGTCCTCATCGTCCTCCTCGATGTCGTAGGGGAAGTTGTACACGGGGATGCGGTAGTGCTCAATGTCCTCCATGACCAGCTTCTTCGACTCGGCGAGCTCGGCGGGTGTGAGGGAGTCAGCCTTGCCGATGACGGGGATGACGTTGCAGCGGGGTGAGAGGCGCTTCATAAGCTCAATGTCGAGTTCACGGAGACTGTGATGTGTTAGCTGGAGCGGGCAGAGGGGCTCGGCATACATACCCGTGACCGGTGGGTGTGATGAAGTAGAGCAGGACATGTACACGGTCGTCGCGGAATCGGGGGTTACGCTTAATACGCGATTCCTCTGCGAGAATGCCGTCGTACTGTCGCTCGAGGTAGCCGACGATCTCTGAGAAGCTGCGGAGGGTAAGCGTGGGTTGTGGTACGTCCTGGAAGATGCCTACCTGGCCTCGTTGTCGATCTGGTCTCCAAATCCGGGTGTGTCAACAATGGTGAGCGAGATGCGGGTGCCCTCCTCGTCGAGTTCTAATGTTTGTTAGCAGCCGCACGGGATGATGATAGCCATTGGTCCTTATCGGGGCGACGTACCGACTGTGATGGGCTTGATCTTGACGCCCTCCTCGACGTGTGCCGTTGTTGGGTCGTCGACCTCCTTGTGTCCGAGCACCTGCTTGCCGCAGAGGGTGTTGACAAAGGTCGTCCGGCCGGTACCAGAGGCACCACAGACCATCAGACAGAACTGGATACCCTTCTTGACATTCTTCTTTCTGCGCGTCTTGTTAAGCGCCTGAGACATTGTTAGCGGGTGTGGTCAATGGCAGGTGGTGTGGTGGTGGGTAGGGCGGCATCGTGGCCTGAGGGAGACGTGGTGTTGGGGAGCGTCGTACCGAAGACATGATGAACTCGGGGGCGGTGAATGTGATGGGTGTGGTGGATGGGCGGCGTGCACACGCAATGGAGACAATCTAGCGATGAGGCGAGACTGCTTGGGGGTGAGACGGGGGCGTATGTCTGTGGTGTGGTGTTGGAGCGGTGTCGTCGTGGAAATTTGGGGACGTTGGCAGCTACTCCCTGCGCGATGCAAAGGGGCTCGCTAGCGGGAAACACCCCGGTCGCACTCTCCTTCTTGGCGCGACCACCTGGCGCGTCTGATTTCGGCAAGATGTACAACACGAGTGATTGCAATTGATATTGATCACGAATTGTATTGCAAGTATGTCAAGTTGGCAAGCGGAACGCGTTGCTGCTTTTATAATGATTGCGCGCTGTTCTGCCTGATAGCAGTACTCAGCGGGGTACATTATCAGGGTCTCTCGAAGCTCAACATTACGACTTGGAATATAAAAATGGAAAGTCTCGTATCTCACGTGCGGCTCTGCGCGGGAGGTGGTAGTAATTCTCCGGTTATATCAATGGGACTGATGGTGCCCAAAAGCATCGTTGCTCATCCATCAGGTCCTCGAGCCGCGCTTGCTCTAACCGGTTAGCGCCGGGAGAGCTCAGGTGGATCCCGAGGGCGTGACCGAGCTCTTGGAGGAGCCGTGGACCCTCGATATCGCTATCAACCAACCCTCTCGCCGCTATTTACTCTCGCCTGTCTCAGTCGCTGCTGATAAAATGGGCCTAGCATACTCTCATACACCGCGATAACGCTGTCGGCGCCGTTTGCTGGCCACTTTAAGTTCGAAGTATCTCAGCACAGCGCTCCACCCACCTCCGCACTGCACTTAAGACGCCCCACTTGAGCAGTCGAAACAACCTCCCGTACAAACATCCGCTCTATTCGCTGCGCCCAGCATGAACACCCGGCCCATTCTGGACTCGGATGCCGGGCCCTTTGTGCTCTCGGCATCCTTCAACGCCGACTGTTCGCACTTCTCGGTAGCCTTGGAGAACGGATTCCGCGGTATGACGCGCGCATACATCTTGAAGGCCCCTGCTAACGCCTCCAGTATTCTCGTCTTCAACATGCGAAGAGAAGATCTCCAGAGGTAGCACCATATCCTGCATACCGACCACACCCCACTAACACCCCCACAGAAGTCGGCGGCGGCATCGGCTGCGCAGAGATGCTCGGCAACAAGAGTTACATCGCCCTGGTCGGAGGAGGGAAGCAGCCCAAGTACCCCCAGAACAAGGTACCTCCTGAGGACCCCGACTGGAGCGTCAACGACACTGACATCATCTACGAGGTCCAAATCTGGAACGACAAAACCGAGCGCTTCACCACATCCACCGAGTTCAAGACGCCCGTCCAGCGCGTGCGCCTCTCGCAGACACACATGATCGTCGCGCTGCTCAACTCGATATGCATATACAAGATGAAGGTGCCACCGGTGAAGTCGGCGGAGTACGAGACGGTCAACAACCCGTTTGGGCAATGTGAGCTGGGCACGAGCATCGTCGCATTTCCAGGAAGGGCGGCGGGCCAGGTCAAGATCTACGATCTCAACACGGGCAATGTGAGTATCATACCCGCTCACGAAAGCCCGTTGCGCGCAATCGGCATAAGCAGGAACGGCGACCTCATCGCAACAGCCAGCGAGAAGGGCACTATCATCCGACTATGGTCCTTCCCCTCCTGCACCAAATTAGCAGAGCTCCGTCGGGGCGTCGACCCCGCTGCCGTCTTCTCTCTCGCCTTCTCCCCCGACGGCTCCACCCTCGCCGTGACATCTGATAAATCCAGCCTCCATATCTACGACCTCATAACCGCAACGAATGCCTCTTCACAAGCCGATCCGTCGCAGCACAAGTATGGTATCTTGTCCAAGATCCCTGGTCTGCCCCGCGCTTTTTCAGATATATATCCTACGGCCACGGCCAAGTTCGAAATGGGCGACGAACCTACCACTTGGGGTCCACACGGTAGGTCCGCTACTCTGAGTGCTGGTATTCCGGGTGTGCCGGGCGGTCGGCCGACCAAGGGCCTCATCGGATGGCTCGACGATGAGACTATCCTTGTTCTCGGCGCTGGGTATGATGCGCGATGGGAGCGCTTTCGCACGGGCCGGGATGACAGTGGGAAGAAGTGTCTTGTTCCTAATGGATGGAGGCGGTATATCATTTAGAGGCTTATATGGCCAGCTACGAGAGACGGAGTTATTGCTAGAGGATCATGGTTCTTATCCGCCGTTGATGAGATTTATGTACGGATACGGCGTTTTGAGATTTGGATACGACGAGGCGTTGGTTGCATCTCCTTGGACAGGCGTTTAGATACCCAATCTTCATTCTCTTACTATAAACGTATTTACTCGCGGAGAGGTGATGGCATAGTCTTTCACGCAGAAATCAAAGCACGTACATTTTGATGGATTCAGTCGAGTTTGCATTCTTTACTTCTCTCTCTCTTGTTACTTCTATACATTCTTCTCCTCCATACAGCCGCCAACTGTCAAAATGTTGGCCTGTCCTTTAATTCGCGCTGACCTCCACCGCTCTCAGTTTCATGAGATACAACCCCCAAAACACACCGCTCACATGCCGAGGAACACCCATTGCTCAGCTTTCACATTGGAAGAAGCTGGAATGTCCAGAACGCGAACAGAGGTACATAGAATACATAACAAGAAAGCTAGGAAAGAAGAGTAGGTAGTTGTGAGCTCTGAAGTAAGGGTTCAAACGAGTAAAACGAACAAGTATTTAGAATTACTCTGATTTGAATGTAGAAGCGAAAGAAAAACAAAAGACAAAAAATCGGGAAACTTTGGGTATCGTGCAGAAAGGTATGGTAGCCACAGTTATAACACCCGTGTGCGCAACTTTCTGTGTTGCACGGTGGTGTCAAATATCCAATCAGCCCTAGAAACACCCACATAAATTCTCCTTATCCAGCTCCGCGTTGGCTGTCGATAGCTGTGCACATGGAAGTGTAGTGGTTAGAAAGTTGACAAGACAAGGAAACATTCGTGGCAGGGTCGTAAACAAGGGTTTTTTGTTGGAGAGAACCAGTCTCTCCATGCCCTCTCTTCTCTTATAACAAGATGAGATAGTTGCTGGGCGCGATACCCGTCTCGCCGTTTGGTTTCTTAGCCTGCCACCACCGTCCGCTCACGTCCGAGACTTCGAGGATGTCGTGTTTTTGGAAGCTGATCTCATTTGCGTCATCCGGGTTGGCTTCGTAGCTGTAAATAGCCTTGGCGCGGTACGGGTACTCGATGGAAGCTTCTTGCTGGTTGTTTGCGTCGTCGTTTGTGGGGGTGGAAACGTTGTTGTTCATGCCGCCGAATTGGGGGGCTGAGCTGTTGCGGCCGTTTGCGCCGACGGGGCCGCCGGGGTAGCCGGAGACGGGGGAGGAAGTTTCGAAACCGTTTAGTTGGGCGGATGTGTACATTTGCGGCGGGATGTTGGCGGTTTGGGTTTCGGGCCGGTTGGTGTAACCGTTGGAGATGGGGCGGGAGGAGCGCGAGCCGGGGTGCTCCTTGTGCAGGGCGTACGAGTCGACGAAGGCGCGGTGGCTGGCTTGTGGTTGCGAGCCGTAGTAGAAGATCCAGACGATCTGGGCTTGTTAGTTGGGACTGGTGGTGGGTGGTGTGCTGGCATGACTTACGGCGATCATGGAGAGGAGGATGTAGCCGGCAGCCGCGGCTTCAAAGGGAGCGACGGGCGAGTAGACGAGCGAGTTGACGGATGAGGTGGTGAAGACCAGGCCGGCGGCAAGGAAGCCCACGATCTGCTGGAATTAGCAAGTGCGTTCGCGTGGTGTGCCGTGACTGCTACTTACTGCGACATGGTACGTCCTCTCCGCATCCGAGGCGACTGTGACGGTGACGCCCGCAATGCAGAAGAACATGAAGACGAGCGTCCACCAGGCGAAGTTGGGGAAGCCGCCGTGGATGGCTGATATTATGGAGCTGACAAAGGCGATGACCCAGGCGAGCTGTATACCACGTTAGCGACCAGATCCCGCGACTGCCGCGTACTCCGGGCTACTCACAATGCCAATCGATATCGTGGCCAGCGCAAAAGGATCTCCGATGATGCGGCTCATGCTGAAGCCCTGGGACCTCTGGCCGTAGCCTCCGTTTTCCATTTTGCGTAGTGAAGGAGAGCCGCCCAGCGAGCCGTAAGCGGGCATGTGTTGGTGGAAGCGGCGGGGAAAGGGGCGATTAAGCTATGCTGTCGCGGGCGCAGGAAGAGCAGGAAGAGCAGGAAGGAGCGTGGGTGCCCGATGCGGTATTATGGGTGAATGTCGAGAGTCAAAGAGTGTTGTGGGCGTTGGGCCAGTATATCGGCGCGTTGGTGGAGTTGTGCAGGGCAGCGAACGGTGCACAGGGCGCAAGCAGCGGGAGGCGGGCGTCCAGTGACCAGCAGTGTTGGTGGGCGCGCAAGGCTTCTGCGACTCTGGCGGCTGCGTGAAGGTCGATTATGGCAGCAGGCGGTGGGTGTCGAGGGAGGGTTACGGGCGAGGGCGGGAGCAGAGCGAGAGATGCGACGGTTTCACCTTGGGTTCCCAGTAGTTCTCGATTGGCCGCGCCGGCTGGAATGGCTAAGGGTTGTTCGGGGATTGCAGCGCTGCGGGTCCCACTTGTGCAGAGATTAAAATGGCACCAGCACCGCGCCCGTCAGCCAAAGGCCTGGACAGCTGCACGCGCGTTTAGTGCATTAGTGCCTTTGGTGGCCGTCGAGCCGCCGTACACAGACAAGTCTACGTTGTTTTCATGTTAACAGCGTTATGGGGGTATCTCATCCACCTGTTGCTCGACAATGTGTTCGACAATGTCAAGCTGTTCGCGGCCATTCACTCATTCACCATCCACTCTTCAATACGCCAAGCCAAGACGTGGCGCAGCTAGTACTACCTAGGTACGTCGCTCAAAGGGATCCCAATACATGGCGACGCCTCATCATGCATCCTCGACTCGTCACTCAAGAACACCCCGAGAACCCTCCCACACACAGGACATCCCCGTCCGAAATGTGGTACTTTGATTAAATCGACAATCTACACCGCTGCTGTCATACACAACTGGTCTGACAGCTGCAATTCCACTGCACAAGTCTGGCTAATCTCATGTGCACCCTGCGTCGCCGTCAAGGCATGCCATCCACGTTTCCCCATGGCCTGTCTTGATTACCCATGGTAGCCGACACGTGCGCCGCGTCCATTTGCGGCTGAGAAGGGTGTCTAGGCGCAGTACTCCTAGTTCCCAGGCGAGCCAGGAAATTGACGTCCGGACCATTGTCGGCGCCATTACGCTTCGGGGCCCTGGGCCAGGTCACCAAGCTGACACGAGACGGTCCTGAAACGCCGTGCTACGGCACCGAACCCTCCGCAGCCCTACAAAGTTGCTGAGACCCTCACTTGACCTCACTTTACATCATTCAGCAAGAAAAAGCTGGCGCTTACAAACTCTTTTCGTGTTTGAACTATCTGCTCCTGCTACCTGTGACATGGCAAAGCGTTTCCGGTCAGGGTGCAAAGGTCAATTGACGTACGTTACTGTACCACGCATCAATTTCCCCATGGCCGTCGTCATGATCGGGAAGTTTGTTTTGCAATATGTCACTTTCGGATGCTTGCTTGATCCGAGGCAACGCGTCGCTTTTGTAACATGCGCGACTCTGGATCGCTGCAACGATGGTGACACCGCTCCACATGCTCGCTGCTGATCTGGTCCACATGCCCCGCCCAGACTGCTGAGCCTCTATCAGATGTGCAAAAGTAGAATGACGGTCGCGGGTACCGGCTGTGGCTGTGACGAGTGCGCCCAAGGTACACGTGAAGCACCTGGCATCTGTCAGCCACGCCTTGAAACCGTCTGACGTCGGTATTTGCGCAACGCATGAAGTCCACGTACCGTCAACACAACGTGGTTGAGAAAATAGTAATGGACGTACGGTGTCTCAGCAGGCGATTGGTGCTTCTGCGCGGAGACTGAGGGCACCGAGCGTGGCATTCTTGGTTCGGTGAACTGTTGCGTGATGCTGACAGTTCTCACAGCTCGTCCTCCTCAGATTCGCTCTCCTCGCCCTCTTCTTCTTCGCGTGCCACGCCTTTTTCCTCCTCGGCAGGCCTTCTCCTATATTCCTCCCGCACAAGCGCTCTCAGGGCCTTTCTGAGCCTCTCGTCGTAATCAACCCAGCATCTTCCTGCGCCGAGGAGCATGACCTGCTGGTACCGCTGATTCAGCAAGCCGTTCCTTTTCCGCAGCTCGGATATCTTGAGTGCTTGTTGTAGTTGGCGCTCTTCTGCTTCAGCAATGCGCGGTCGCAACACGGCTAGCTTGGCGAAGCCATCGGTGGTGGGTATCTGCTGGTCTTCGAGAGCTTGGAGTTGTGAGGCAGTTGTTGCGAAGCTTGTTGCGCGTTCAGTCACCAATACAGCTTTCTGGGCGTTGTCGAGTGGGGGACCGTCATGGCTGTCGTCGTGTTGTGTCTTGAGGACATCTTTGTGCTTGCTCACTGGTGACGTTAGCCTCAGATAGTGCAGGAAGTGAGAGCTGCGTACGTAAGTTGTTGGCCTCGTCGAGTAGCGCAGTCTTGCCTGCGAGCTGCTGCAGTGACTGCTCGATCCTGTGTATGCGATCCGGGATGGTCTTTTGCTTGTCCTTGGTGTTGTCCTGCGGGCCGCCGAGGATATACTCCAGGCGATCCAACCGCGATTCCAGCAGTGAGAATGTGAACAGAACCGCCTCCTCGTATTCGTCCATGGTGGTGCTGGATTCGATGTTTATGTTCGCCCAGACGTGCGGACGCGGGCGCGTACCTCGAGCGGAGCGGATGTTAATTTTAGCGGCCGCTGATAAGCCCCCGGGTTATGGGGCCTCGAGACCAGACGTCAGCGGAGCACTCCCACCCTCGCTTTTCACTGCCAGCTCGAGCTCCCATAGCTCTGTCGTCACATTCGCTTGCCTGTGCTCGTCATCGCGATATAGATAGCACCACCGCCAACCCTCGACGGATGAACGCGCAATAACACGAACCGCGCATTTCGCACCCCAGAGCATGGCTTCCTACTCCGCCATCGGCCCCGAGCCAACAGACGCAGACCCCATGACTTCGAGCACCGGGTCGCTGAGAGGGCGACGGTACGATAGCCTCGTATATCTCTTATCGGACGAAAGCTGACCCAAGTAGGAGAGGCAGAGGGAAGCAAGACGTCGGATTCAAGGGCCAGGCAACATGGATCTCCAGTGTCATCAACCTGGCCAACACCAGTATGCTCATGCCAGCTACCCCACACAAGATCATACTGACTATGGACAGTCCTCGGTGCCGGCCTCCTCGCCATGCCCTCCGCGCTCTCCAAAATGGGCATCTTCCTCGGCATCTTCGTTATCGTATGGGCTGGCACAACCGCAGGCTTTGGCCTCTACCTGCAAACGCGATGCGCGCGCTACATTGACCGCGGGCATGTATCCTTTGCGACGTTGTCTCAGATGACATACCCGAATCTGTCTATCATCTTCGACGCCGCCATCGCTGTCAAGTGCTTCGGCGTGGCCGTCAGCTATCTTATCATCATTGGAGATCTGATGCCGGGTGTGGTTCGAGGATTTGCGCCAGGCGCTGGAGACATTACCTTTCTGGTCGACAGGCAGTTCTGGATCACGGCATTCATGTAGGTGCTGGTTATGAAGTTCGGAGTGGTGTGTACTAACCAATCCAGGCTCATCGTCATTCCGCTGTCCTTCCTGCGCCGCCTAGACTCGCTCAAGTACACCAGCGTGATCGCCCTCTTCTCCATTGCCTACCTCGTCATACTCGTCGTAGCCCACTTCCTCAAAGGCGACACGATAGCCGACCGCGGCAACGTCCGTGTCTTCGAATGGGCGGGCCCCGTCTCCGCACTCGCCGCCTTCCCCGTCATCGTCTTCGCCTACACATGCCACCAGAACATGTTCTCGATCCTGAACGAGATAGCCGACAACTCCCACTTCCAAACAACCACCGTCATCTTCGCTTCCATCGGAGGCGCATGCGGTCTGTACATCCTCACCGGCATCACAGGCTACCTATCTTACGGCGACAACATACACGGCAACATCGTATCCATGTACCCCACCGCCGCCGCCAGCACCATCGGCCGCCTCGCCATCGTCATCCTCGTCATGTTCTCCTACCCCCTCCAAATCCACCCCTGCCGCGCCAGCATCGACGCATGTCTAAAGTGGCGCCCGGGCGGCCGCAAACAAAGCGAAAGCAGCCCCTCGCGAAACACACTCATGAACAACACGCCCAAGCCCGGCGCGCCCAAGAGCAGCGAGATGAGCGACCTCAAATTCGCAGTCATCTCCACCGTCCTCATCATCCTCTCCTTCATCACCGCCATGACCGTTTCTAGTCTGGAGAAAGTACTGGCGTATGTTGGTAGCACGGGTTCTACGACGATTTCCTTCATTCTACCCGGTTTGTTCTATTACAAGATTTCTGACCCGGAATCTTCGCACCACCAACGTCTTGTTAAGGACGAAGACGACGAGGACGAGTATCAGAGTGGAGAGGCGGAAGGGTATGTCACGAGCGAGGGACATCTTAATCGTGATTTCAGGAGGGGCCTACTGCGTAATTTGGCGCTTGCTTTGAGCATTTACGGTGTTGTTGTTATGGTCGTTTGTCTCATTACGAATACCTTTTTGGTTGCGGCGCATTGAAGATGTTTCGATCTTGTTAAATTTGGGGAGATGGTGTTGCATTTAGCGGGAGTTATTTGCTTGGGGGCTTATCAATTAGACTGGTTGAACGGGTTGGGATGGGATGGCCTCGGTGTTGGAGTCACGTCGATGATGGTGTCTACGGTTTTGTTGTATTCTGGAGGGTTGTATAGGTATATGTGTGGCCTTCTGTAGTCTGGAGCGAAATAGTAATCGTGCCGCTCTTTTCCAGGACGTGTTCTCCTCACGACTTGTCATTGCGTTGGTCCTGCGGAGCGTTGCTAGAGAGTTGAAGTCCGCATGTTGATGTTTGTTGTATTGTTACAAGTTGTACATTTCAGTTGTAGCCCTCATGGGCCGAGAAAGAGGAGTGCCAATACCATTCTCTCTTCGGAGCGAGCCCCATCACGCTGTGGCTTCGTGCACTGATATTTTCGGACACATGCTCCGTCATCAAGACCAAATGTGTGGTTGTGGTGTTGTGCATCTTTCCTTCTCGTTCGTGTGATGCCAGAATTCGCCTCTGTTGAGTCCATCATACGTCAACTCAACCCGTCATGCTCTGAACCCTATCTCCAAATCTTGATATGTCGACCACATAATTTGTAGCCACAATTTCCCCTTCGCCCTCTCCACGCGTCTTGCTCTCCCCCTCGCACCCAATCCTCCCACGCTACTCTCGCACACCCAAGCACCTAAGTAGCAGAAGCCGTCTCCTTCGTCCCGCCCTCCATATTCTCCACCACAGCCCTTGGCGCCCCTCCCTCTTGAATCAAACTCTTACTCGCACTCCCACTCTTCACCACCATCCCCGCAATCTTACCCACCCTATACTGCGGCTCCAGAATCCCCACCATGGACAGCAACCGCCACGCGGTATCTGAGGGCTGGGCGCCGACACCGACCCAGTAGCGCGCGCGCGACAGGTCTAGTTTGATGTCTTTCCAGGGGCGGCCGTGGGTGTCGCCGGGACGTGGTGGTTGGGGCTTTGGGTCGTAGGTGCCGAGGACTTCTAGGGGGCGGGAGTTGCGCGCTGTGCTGTAATATTTGTATTAGCCAGATGGTCTTGGAGATTGGGTCGGAGTGGTCTTTGGGAAGGGAAGGTGGAGTAGGCTTGTGAGGATATGCTGATTGCAGTATTTGCGGACTCCCGAGATGGAATCGTTGGATGGAATTGGGAGACGTACCGGGCGTGTGCGACGACGATGTTGTAGAAGGGGGAGTGCTTCTTGCCGAAGCGGGCGAGTCGGATTCTTAGGACCATTGTGAGATGTTGTGCGTAGAGGTGGTGCTGTTGCGACGACTGCGCGAACGGAGCGGGCGGTTGGTTGGTGGTTTGGGTATATCTTTTTGCTCCGAGGATCTGCCGAGATGCGTGGGCACGTGCGAGGGGGTGTGGTTTGGGTTGGTGACTGGAGTGTGTAGAACACTTTTCTTGGTAGACAGATGATATGTAATCTCCGGGCTGATCTCTGGCTCGAGCAGAGATTCAAGTTGAAGAAGTTGTGGTGGTGTGCGTTTGCTGTCGCGCTCATCATCCTCCTTGAGCGGTGATGTAATGGCAACACCATGTTGCTCACCAATATATGGTGTGACAACCATCTCTGCTTCTACATCTCTCACTTTTTCTAAACTGAAGACTACACGATGGCTCTTCGAGTGAGTAGCCTTCTGAGATACTTGATTCGGTGATGACTACTAATCTTACTCCGCAGACTCTCTCCGCCAAAAGCGCAGCTGCGCTTGACCAAGAACTCATGTCCTCGGGCGCATTCTCCATTGATCAATTGATGGAGCTCGCAGGCCTTTCTGTTTCCCAAGCAGGTACGTCGTCACTAAATCTGATCGAATCCGTCAAGCTGATCAGTTAGTCTTCAAACTACAACCCCTCAGCAAAGGCAAGCGCATCCTCGTAGCATGTGGCCCTGGCAACAACGGCGGCGACGGACTAGTCGCAGCCCGTCATCTCTTCCATTACGGCTACCAACCTACGATCTACTACCCAAAGCAGAGCAAGAATGAGCTCTATCAGGTATGTACCTCGCCAAGTACCAGAGGGACATCTATCTAATCCTCGGCCTCCACAGCGCCTCAAGAAACAACTCGAAGACCTCAAAGTGCCATTCACAGAAGACTTCACGTCCGCACTCAAGCAAACTGACCACATCGTCGACGCAATCTTCGGCTTCAGTTTCTCCGGCGAAGTACGCGAGCCATTCCCCAAAGTCATCGAAGCTCTAGCATCGACTTCCGTCCCTGTGCTCGCCGTCGATGCGCCATCATCGTGGGATATCGAGGACGGACCTCAGGATTCTGGACCTGGCAAGGGCTTCATGCCACCAGCGCTCATCAGCTTGACTGCACCGAAGCCGCTGGTTAGGAAGTTCACAGGGAGGCATTTTCTTGGTGGCAGGTTCTTGAGCCCGGAGATGGCGGATAAGTATAATCTTGATGTTCCGAAGTATGAGGGCTTGGATCAGGTGGTTGAGGTGCCGGTTGAGAGTGAGAAGCTGTAAAATATGGCCATCCATGCTCGTGATTATTATACAGAATAGACTACAATGTTGTTCGCGCATCACGATGCATGGTCAAGGTGTTTTGGTACCTGCTTGATATGACACTAGCGTGGTTTCCCCGCAGAGCCGCGGTACGGCTAACAGCGGTCTTGAGATGTCATCCGAACCCCAGCTTCAACTGCGCTTCGGCAAACAACAATGTCAATTTCCTTCGAAGCGGAAGCCCGGAAAGTTCTTGACTCCCTTTTGTCTGCTCTCTTCCAGGCGGTATAATCGAGCTGTAACTCATCTACACGTTTCACATACCACTACACCCTCAATCTCGCGTCGTGACTACGCGCAAAGCAACTTCCCCCCACATACACCCAAAGGGCTGTCTGAACTGCTGCGGCCTTTCAAGCGCTCACTGTTCCAACTAAAATGGTTCCAAGAGCGCCTTCAAGAGAGGCTTTGACCTTGCTCAAGCATTCTGTACGACCTTCCGTAGTCGTTCGATCGCAAACACAACGCTGCCTCCTCTCATCCACTTCGCGTCCTACGTTACCATCGCACACCCAATCGCGGGCCACACCCCAGACAGTTCGAAACACCGCGACCTTTACGCATTCTCACCATGCCGAAGCCGTGTCTGTGATCCCCACGAACGTCGACACGAGCAATGCAGACTTCAAAGAGAACAAGCGCCAGATGGACGAGGCAACCGAGAACCTGGTCAACCTGCACACAAAGATCGCGCAAGGTGGACCTCAGAAAGCTCGGGACAAGCACATACAGCGCGGCAAGATGCTGGTTAGAGACAGGATATCTGCACTGATTGACCCGGGCACGCCGTTCCTCGAACTGAGCCAGATGGCAGGTTACAACATGTACGGAGAGGATGATGTGCCTGCAGGTGGTATCGTCACTGGCATTGGCACAGTCAATGGTGTGCAATGCATGGTTGTCGCCAATGACGCTACAGTCAAGGGCGGCACATACTACCCAGTCACCGTGAAGAAGCATCTGCGAGCCCAGACGATCGCCCAGGAGAACCGGTTACCCTGCATCTACCTCGTCGACTCTGGAGGTGCGAACCTGCCCAACCAAGCAGATGTATTCCCGGATGTCAACCACTTTGGCCGTATCTTCTACAACCAAGCGCGCATGTCGGGCATGGGCATCCCGCAGATCAGTGTTGTTATGGGACCATGTACGGCGGGTGGTGCTTATGTACCTAGCATGAGCGACGAGAACATCATCGTCGAGAATCAGGGTCATATCTTCCTTGCCGGGCCACCGCTTGTCAAGGCAGCGACTGGCGAGGTGGTCTCAGCAGAAGACCTTGGTGGAGGCAAGCTTCACAGTGAAGTCTCTGGTGTTACAGACTACCTCGCAGTTGACGACGCGCACGCACTTGTCCTTGCGCGGAGGAGCGTTGGCAACTTGAACTGGCACCGTAATCAGACTGTTACTTCGCAGCCCACTTTCCAGGAGCCTCTCTACGACCCTCAGGAGCTTTCAGGCATCGTCGGCACCAATCTGCGCCGTCAAATCCCCATCCACGAGATCATCGCACGCATCGTCGATGGATCTTCTTTCGATGAGTTCAAGCCATTGTACGGCTCCACTCTAGTGACGGGTTTCGCGAAGATATACGGTCACCCGGTGGGTATCGTAGCCAACAACGGCATTCTCTTCAGCGAGAGCTCGCTCAAGGGCGCGCACTTTGTCCAACTATGTGGCAAGCGACACATCCCCCTCATCTTCCTCCAAAACATCTCAGGATTCATGGTCGGCCAGGACGCCGAGAAGGGCGGTATCGCAAAGAACGGCGCAAAGCTCGTAACAGCCGTGAGCTGCGTTGACGTACCCAAATTCACAGTCGTCGTCGGATCTAGTGCTGGCGCTGGAAACTACGGCATGTGGTAAGTCTCCTTCTAGTCCCACCTCGACACAACATCGCTAACACAAGCACAGCGGCCGCGCGTACTCCCCTCGACTTATGTTCACCTGGCCCAACGCAAAGACGTCGGTCATGGGCGCAGAACAGCTCTCGTCCGTCATGGAAGCTGTAGGCAAGAAAGTGGATCCCGCGCTAAAGGCACGGATCGAGCACGAGAGTGAGGCCACGTTCGGGTCGGCAAGGCTATGGGACGATGGAATCATACCGCCGGAACATACACGGAGGGTGCTTGGCATGGGCCTGCAGATGGCGTGCGGTGGACAGAACAAGGGCGTGGAGAAGGAGAGCACTTGGGGTGTGTTTAGGATGTAAACGCAAAAAAAGGCTTCGTAAGAGCACGCGTGCGATACGCGCGTCTCCCTGTTGCTTGCTTAAAAGCATGATATTCGCGACCTTGACCAAGAATCTTTGGTGTTCCATTTTTTTCTTGCCTGCTTGCTTGCCTTGCTTGCCTTAGGGCCTGGCCTAACTACCTGTGTACTAAGAATAGGGTCCATGACCGCAATTTCCGGCATCCCCACACATTTGCACGGGAAGTGGCTTGGCAGAGGTCTTGGCAGAGAGCCGTCAAGACAGCTGGGCAGGCGGGTTCGGCCTCAAGTACGCCTGTAAGCTTGCTTGGAAACGCTTGTGTGAGACGAACGTTAACGTAGTGTGGAGATCAGGTTCACTCAGCCATAGATGCGGTGCTGTTGATCGGGAGTTCACGCATGTGAGAAACGAAACGGAACAAAACAAACGGTGAAGTCAGGCCAAACAGCGCAAAGTCAGGCGCCTGCGCCACAAACATTCCCTGCAGGTGGGGCGCAGGCATGCGGAATTGAGTCCATAGGTTTCAACGCGGATACCGGGTCTTGCGGCTGCGTTGCGCAAGATACACGCAGACAGCGGAATGTGTTCACTGTTTTGATACTGTTTGTATTCAGTTAGTGGTGGTGAGTGGTGGTATGTGGCGCCGTTCGCACCGGCGCTTGCGCTGTGAATTACAACTTGACCTGCGTTCCCTCGGCTTAGAGGGAACGCCAGCTGCATGATGATTAGATGCAGGCGGCGAATACGACCATGGGATTGCCAGGGTAGCCTATGGGGGCACAGGCCCGTGTTAATCCATCAAAGTTACCTTCTCAGTGCCGCCATTCCGCTGCCCGCTATTGCCTCGACGATCGCTCCCGCCTCTCTTTGTCACGTCCGTCATCAAACGCTGGGGGCCTGTTTACCACTACACTCGCTTTTCTGTCGCCGTTCCTCCGCTGCCACAACCTTTTCCGGTACCTGCCTCCTACTCCCCGGTCAACCTCACCACGCTGCTTGTTTGCTTGATCTTGCTTGATCTCCCTGATCTCGCTTCCTCCCCACTTGGTCTCACGCACTTGCGGGGTAGCCATTCGTTAGCATTGTTTTAGGCGCAAAGCACATGTCGAGATGAGGTTGTTCAGCCCTGCGCGAGCGCTAGCGGCGCTCTCTCTGCTGTCGACAGATGTTGTGCGACCCTTCACCCAGGCCATCGTGCTCGACCCCAATTCAGAGAGTAGGATCCCCGTCGCTGTCGCATGGCTACTGTGCGCTTATACAGTCTGCTAACCTCACTTTACAGCCTCTATCAACGATGTCTCCTCCCAGGTTGCCAAACAGCTCGTTGCGCAATATGCGACTATCGATGATAAGGGCATCCATGTACTCGGTGGTTACCCGGGTATCCTCTACGAACCCTACTACTGGTGGCAGGCGGGCGCCATGTTTGGTACCCTCCTCGACTACTGGCACTACACCGGCGACGATCAGTACAATGAGATGGTCCGCGAGGGA